AAAACGGATGGGTTGGAATATGTATGCCCAAATTGTAGCGTCTCGAATTACAGGAAGAAGACTCCGAAGACCTCCAATGGCGGCTTGCTTGTACCTTAGCTTTGTACCTTAGCTTCATGTTTCTTCTTTTGTTGTACTTTTTGCCTTGGAACCAAATGATTGATTGATTCCTCTAATATTTCACGAGTTTTTTGCAATGCAAGGTTTTTCTTTCCATCATCTTTATTATGAAATTCTCAAGTTTTAAATGATACACACACAATAGGAATCGAAGAATGAACAAATAGTGAAGTTATAGATTTTGTTTCTGAACGGTAAAATACAAAATTTGACAAGATCAAACCACACCTGAACCTCTCATTTTCATATGATAGGACTTGTCACTTGTCAAATATTATTATATCTTATACCAAATGAATAGACATGACCACTTATTCAATCAAATAAGAACAGCAAATGATTAATACTCCAAGAGATGATTTAAAAAAGGTAAACAAGCTTTGATAAAATGAATAAATCCCAAATCGTTCAGAGTTTGGTGCAGCGTAGAAACAATTTATGTACATGTACACTTAAATAGTAACGAACTTATGAAACGAATTTGAGAAGCGTGTATATACAAAGAGTAGTTTGTAATGTGGATGGAGATTACGGGCGCAAACGATCATAGAGGTCCCTGAGGGCAGTGTACAACGGTTCAGCTGCCTTCGGTTGATCCACCATCCCAAGTAGAATGTCTGTTGTGGTTAGGTATGGATCGCCATAGAACTTTACATTCATGTCCCTTCGTGTTGCCACCACATTTCCTTCAAGAGATACTCCCACAAATGCCCCTGTTCACACCACACAACTTCTCTTAGGTTCTAGACTATTCAATTTCCTCTGTAACATTGAGCTCCTAAGGAGCTACGAGTCCACTCCAAATTATATAGATAATGAGAAAAGTGAAAACTGAGGCATGAAGTTGAGATGGGGAAAACCTTTGCTACGGCTGTAAGTATAGCAGACGCCAGAGCCTTTGTCACCAGCTCGAAGGTCAGCCTCCAACACTCTCCCGATAGGCCCTGCTGCTGCACTGCATCCCGCGCCTAGAGAGAAGTGCATTCTGCTGCAGAAAGTCTTCACCGCTTTCACATCATGCAGCACTATTATGAAGTCCATCAACTCACCTCCAATCTGACAAAAGAGTGCAAAAGTTCTTATGAGGCTATTGCAACGCATCTTTAACTCTAACATCCATGTCTTGAATGGAAAAGATGAAGTTAACCTGAGCACCCCATCCAAGACCTACTGAGAGTATCGCAGATGGAGCAGACCATGACCCGTCTGGTCTCCGAGATATTACCAGACCAGTACCGAGTTTGTATGACAGTAAAGCCCCAGCCTTAGCAACCGTTATGATTGCCAAACCTTTAGCTCGACTAAGAACTGCATGCGGTATGGATTTCTCAGGGTCTAGTCTTGCTACCTGTGTATTTCAGCAACTAATTAAACAGACATTTACGAACATGGAATGTGTACCTTAACATTTGATTCTCATTTCTCTACTCGAACATCTCTACAAAATAAACATGTACTAGAAAGAAGAAGGATCAAAATCAAACCTGGCAGTAACCTCTCAACGTATTAGCTGCCTTGTATATCTCATCTTCCATGGATAGACCAACAGGGAGATTCAACCATCCTCTTGAGCAAGTCCAATCCACAACATCATGCTTTGCTACTTGCATAGCATTACTAATAGAGTTAATAAGAACACATTGCAAAGGATCAAGCCTCTCGTAGCAAGAATCACACACTCTCTGAGGATTCCTTTCCCGAAACCGACTAGGCATCAAACACCTCCCTTTCGAACAGTTTCTACAAAATATCCCTCCGCAGAACCGACAATGATGTCTACCGCACGTGATTGCAGTAAAAGGAGTAGAACACTGCATGCAAGTAGTAGCTAAACTATCAGGTAGCCACTCAGGAGGTTCAGCTTCAAGCAACTCCTTGTAAACACTGTAATTAATCCCACTAGGTTCAAGTAGAGGCGGAGCACTCGGTATGTAAACAGACGAGTGAACATAAGTATCTCCGTTCTTGCCAGAGCCAAGAAACGAAACATTCGAAGAAGGGCTTTTCTGATCTAACGAACCCGTAACATCCTTGTTCCGCCCGGTAACAATAGCAATCAACCCAGTTAAAACGTTTTTCAAGTTTACTTCAGGTTTCCCATTTCCTTGGATCGGCGTCGTAGAGAGCTCGTCAGCTGAATCATATCCGTCATCAACATAATCTCCAGAGTCGATAATCGGATACTCCGGTTCTTTCTTTGAGGAGATTGATTGAACAGGCCATTTAGGTCCATCTCCATAACCATAACCATCACCATCATCATCATCATCATCATAATCATCATACTTGAATTTGATGTTTTCTTCAGAATACGGAGAAACTTTTCCGTTGAGAGTAGCCATGCCTTAAAATTGAAAATTCACTAAAATTGAAAATCTGCAAACAAAGAACATATATTTATATTAAAACACAGATCAACAATTTCCTAGATAACTTATTGAAACCCTAATATAGCAAACCTAGGTTTTGATTTGAATTCTAAGGTTATTCGAATCGGAAGACAACGAATCACAGAGAATCATTGGAATTATAAAACAAAAGATTAATTTCAAGGATCGATGGGAGCAAGAACCTGTGCTTTGATCGCGAAGAAACGAATTAGGTTAAGAAAAATAGCAATTCCGATTTATGGGATTGAAGAAGAAGATAAGTAGCAAGCAAGAACACGGCGCCGGGGAATATTTTATTTCATTTAATACTAATAGATATCATATCTTTCGGTTTTCAGGTAAGCAAGTCATTAAAGACTTCGTATATATTTGGGAGCCCAATGGGCCTTGGGCCTTTATATTTTTGGTTAAATAAATGCTATTGCTTCAAACGATTCATTCGGTAAGAAAAAAAAAAGAATATTTGATTTCATTTAGTAAATATATTTAGAGTAACTAGATTTTAACCCGCGGTATACCGCGGAACGATTTATTTTTAAATTTAGTATTTTCTAAAATTTATTGGTTATATATTATAAAAAAAATTTGCAACTTGTATCATTTTATAAGATATTTATATTTTATAGTTTACTTATTAAAAGTTTTTGATTCAAACTCGTCCCGTCATATAACTCCGTCCTACAATATAAACATCCCATGTTATTTTAACTCTTTATATATGTTCAAATGTTCTTATATTATAAACTTTTTATTAATTGATTTTAAATATATGAATTATAATATTTAAAACTTCTTAAAAACTCGTACCGTTATATAACCTTATCTACCAATATAACACTTTTCGTGTTATTGTACCTCTTTATATATGTTCAAATGTTCATAATATTATAAACTTTTTATTGATTTTAAATATATGAATTATATTATTTAAAACTTTTTAAAAGTTTAAAATTAAACATTTTTGGTAAAATTAAGCAATTAAACTAAATAATAAAATGAAACGGTATATAATTTTAAATTTAGATGCTTATTAAGTTGAACTTCTTGTTCATTTGGATTTGGATTCATTTTTATCTTATTTATAATATGATCTAAATATTTTAGCCGATATGGGACGTCGAACACACACCTTTTCATCAATTGGGTAATATATGTCCGTTTTGAAAATTTCGAATCCCAATATATGCAGAACAACAATTGCGGTTTTTTTAAAACTTTATGTATTATATGACGATTCAAAACAGTTAAAAAATGTTCAAACAAAGATGATAGGAGAATTGTATTTCTAAATGTTAACCAAATCTTCTAAATATCTATAATTTTAAATATGAAATATCCGGTTCGTAATTTCGGATATGTTTTGACCCGATCCAAAAAAGATATGAACTATCCGGTGTAAGATTTATGAAAAAAAAATTTTATCGGGTCGGATACCAAATTTGTCGGATAAGAATTTAACCCACCCGCTAAAAATGTACTTCAAAAATACTAGTATAGCTGTTTGACCCGATCCAAAAAAGATATGAACTATCCGGTATAAAATTTATGAAGAAAATTTTTTATCGGGTCGGATACCAAATTTGTCGGATAAGAATTTAACCCACCTGCTAAAAATGTACTTCAAAAATACTAGTATAGATTTACGGGCCAGGCGCTACGACCATGTTTTGTTTTCACCGTTTGGCAAAGTCATATTGACTTTCTATGTTTTAGGCTTTTAGCTATTAAGGCATTTTATGACGAAATTACTCATGCCAGCGTAACCGGTGTATGAATCAGTTAGACCTTGAAGTTAGGTATAATGTCTTGTTAGCTACAGTTTCAGTGTATTTTTATTGGTTTCGCATATACCATAATTTGAAATTTGTGTAATTGTTTTTAGAGATTGTTTGTGAGATTTATGTTTTTTTATTTATAGGAAGAGATATCCTATACTATTATTTTGGAAGTACATTAAAAAAAACTAACCTTACCTTTTGTAAATACTACTTAAGAATTTCATTGAAAATAAAATTTCAAACACCAAATTATTTTAGTTCATTAAGGATAAACAAGTCAAATACTAATTTATGCAATTTATTTGAATTCTAAAGCGAAAATACATTATTAATTTTTTAAAAAAGCAATAATCAATTAAAACGAACATATAAGATTTATTATCTAACTTACCTTATTAATTTATTATTAATCATTATACTGCACCTTTCATCTTTATATGGTTCTATTTTTTTTACACAAATGGATCATCATATCCTCCATAAACTAAAAAAAAGTAGATTTTTTCGCATATACTATGATTTGAAATTTTAAAAATGAATATAAATTGTTCTGTCTATGTAGAAAAAAATTGTAACGGGTCAAAAATTCAGACTTGAGTAATATATTTGATATTTCTTTTAATCTATGAGATGATGTTCTCAGTAACAGGTCAGAATTTTAATATTTAGTGGTAAAATTAATCAGTGGAAAGCAATCCTCAAAAGAAACAAGTAAAGTTTTGTGATTTTAATTAAAATAATATGAAGTATAATGACTTTTACAACATACAAGAAGCAATGAAATTTCGTTCTCATAAAGCAGGGACACCAATATCCTTTTTGTGACAAACCAACATTGTTTCTACTTCTACATAACTAAAGGTTTGTCCTTTAAAGCCACCAACGATCTGATAACGCCTGGAGAAATATTATCAGCAAGAGCCCTGAGTTCCGATATAAACAGAGCTTTCTCCTTCACTAGGCTCTGCAATTTCTTTGATTCAAACTTCATTTTCTCTTCATCTACACACAGTAACAAGTAGGCCATTTTCTCATGAGAATACTGCATTAGTCTTTAAGAGAGTAGCAAAAACTGTGAACAAGATGAAACCTTTCTCAAGCATTGTATGCACAGCATGAAACGGAATCGCAGCAAAAAGATCAGCTCCTGGGAGCATCATCCAAGTGGGTTCACTAGAGTCATGCGATCCACATGTGGAGCAAACTTCCTGGACCAAAGGTTTCGTTGAGCTCACATGTATATCTTTCATCATAGAATCGAATGGAGTAAGAACACTAGTCTTTGTTGTCCGAGCTCTCTTCCTAAGTGCTGTAAGAGCCTCTCGGTTTGCATTCCTCTCCTTGTCATTCTCCACCATCTATTGCACATATTACAAACTCCATTTGGTTAAAAACCTTATTGACCTAACAATATATTATACAAAATCTGATTTCTCAGAAGAAAAAACAAGTTGCAGAACAACAATAGATAGAAAAAGCTTGTGAATCTCAAAGGAAGTTATTCTGCTTTCCACAATCACGTATAAATTACTAAGTAGGGAATATTTCCAACTAGATAGATACTAAACAGATTCCCGAGTACCTGGTTTCGAGCTAGAAGAAACTCATCAGCTTCAGCTTCAATTTTGTCCAATAGTGCAGCAAACTTCTTTGGATCCAACTCCATCTCTAATCTAACAGATTCCAACAAACAAATAGGCTCAGAACCATGCTTATCAAATAAAGCATCATTGGTTGAAGAGGAGAACGGAAAATATTTTTGATTAGTGGTATAGTCAATCTTCCTAATCCTGTAAATCTCCATGTTAACTACTTATCTATGCACAAATCAAACCATAACGAAGCCAGCAAAAAAGAGAAGCTATGGATACTTTGTTTGTTTGTTTAAGCTCAATTTCAAAGACTCTAATTAGACCCACGAGCCACTCCATGTTATTGTTATATGTAGAATGTACCAACATCATCTTAAACCTCTTTACTATCGTTTTAACTTCTTTTCTAAAGAGTCATTATATTTTTCAATTTGGATGAGATAATTGATTCATCCAATTATTGATTTCATCCAATTTCGAAGAAACGATTACAAAAATTAACAATTCTGATAAACCCTAAAAGGTTAAATCCCTGAATTCCAAAACCCTAAACCCTAAACCCTAATTCAAGACATCTCGTTCCTACGATGCAATAACGAAGGCAACCACAACACCAATACAAGTGTAAAACGATTTCTAATTCATTTTTGCAGCATCTTAACAAGAGAGCGATACAAAGTAACTCAGAAAAAGGAAAAAACATAGAAATAACCTTTAAATGGATTTACAGACGAAGAGGCCTTTGATCCAAGGTTCGAGAGTACTCGATGATGTTCTTCTTCAAAACATGTACGCTGGTTTTGCTGGTTCCATGGGACGTGCCGGTGAGCGTCACGACATTTGGAGCTGGTCGTTCGAAAACTAACTTAACCGGTTTAGTTCGGTTAAGTTTGGCTAGGTATCGTTTGCTTTGTTTTAGTAATTGTTGTACTACTAGAGTGAATAATTAAGGTTTAAATAAAATAAGCCAAACATGTGGCTTACTCTGCATTGCATTTTCATATTTGTGTGTATTCAGTCTGAATAATTCAGAGATTTTCAATAAAATAAAACTTCCTTTTCAAATTCATGTAACCGATTAGCTGGAATTGCTTGAACCGCATGATTTCACAAGGTAGGAGATTGTATCAAGCTCCAGATCAACATCAGTAGCTCGATACACATCAACATTAATGTATCTGTCATGGATACATGATTCTAAAATTAAAGATGACAAAAGAAACAGAACAAAATCTTGCATCCACGCAATGAAAACGGTTTATATTAAATAAACGGAGAATAATTGAGTTAATGTTTTGTTTTTCACGGAATAAAATATGGTTTCCCATGCAAAATATTATAAACGTGGAGTGTCTTAGATTTATACACGAAATATGAATTAAAAAGAAAAGTTCCATTAAGATTCAGACCAAACCAAAGCTTCTCAAACCAGTACACAACAAGATGAAGCTAACAAATCAATAATACAAATAGAGTTCACTCATAAAAAGAATAACAATGCCAATAAGAAGAATAACACAGAAGAAAAAAGAAAGAAACACATAACAAAGAGCCAAAGTGACAGAACAATCTTAAGCTAAGCTAAAACATGTGTAAAAAGGCAATGGCCAGACACTGGTTGGTACCAACAATAAATATGAAGAAACAATTATCAAACAATTAACAAGTTCTAACTAGATTTAATTGTGAACATGCGGATTGTACATTAGTAGAGAACTTTTAAGTGAACATGAGCCTTGTCTTAGAAAGACACATCAAAATAAGCTACTAAAGCTTTTAAACAATCTATACTAAAGCTTTTGATTTTCAGTTAAAGACACATCAATATTTCATGCTGCAGAGAGAAACTATATCTACTTGGATAGTTTGCAGAGAGAAACCAAATATATATGCTTAGATACTTTGCAGAGAGAAACCAAATATATCACATGACTAAAGAATAACGTGCACACAATGCTCAAAGCCAGCTCATATCTATAACCATTCAAGTAATACTTTTGTATTGGTTGCAATAATCTCATCAACAAAAGTAGCTCCATCATTACAAGACTAATCTCTAAACTATTCTAAACTAAAGACTAATCTCTAAACTATTCTAAACTAAAGACGAATTAAGCCAATTTTGCTCCAGACTTTTCAAACAATGAGCATTCATATAAGCAATTCACAACACCAGAACCCACAAGATCAAAGTCATATATATATACAGGAGTCTAAATGCAGATAAACCCATGGAAACAAACTCAAACTGTTTCATCACCAACTTCAGACATAGTTCTAAGAAATCATTAGCTCAACCTATCAAAATCGACACAGAGCACAAAATCAAATAAGAGAACCAAATTTTTTTTATCAAAATCCAATCTTACCAAATAAGAAGCAAAACCCAGATAAGGTTCGGCTTTCGTGTAAACCCAGAGGAAGTTTTGCTGAGAAGTTGCTTTCGACAAAAGAAGAACTCGAGCTGCGACGATGATGAGAACTTGCTTTCACTCTCGTTTTAACCCAGAACAATTGCTGATGAGAACTTGATTTCACTCTCCTTTAAACCCAGATCAATTGCTTTCACTCTCGTTTCGGTTCTTTGTTGATTTTGCTGAGAACTTGCTCTCGACTTAGGGAGAAACTCGAGCTGCGGCGAGATAAAAGATGAAACTAGAGGTGTCAGAGGGGCCGGCTCGCGATGGGCATTTAAGTTTATGAGACCGCGATGGGCCGCAGATAAAAATGATATGTGCAGGCCCGCCCTGCTAAACTAGATGAAACTAGGGTTCAAAATTTTGTTTGTAATTCTTAACCAAATATAAGGGTATTTTTGTCATTTACATTTTTAGTCGCTGTTTTTAAAATTGCATCGCCAATTTATCCTGCGATCAGAAATTTCAGTTGCGGATCGCCGCGATTGATCGCAGCGTAGACCTACGCCTGCCAAACAAACAACTTTTAGAGTTAGTCACAATCGCAAGAAGCCTGCGACTGCCAAACGAACAGGCCCAAACTCCAAATATACACATGAGAATTGGTATGCTTCTTTTAACATTTGATAATCTAGAAAATAAAGAAAATGATCTAAACAAATCGGAAAATTGGAGACTTTGAGCTATTATTATTACTAGAGACTCTGAATGCTAGAACAAGTGAACAACCAACATGAACATGATGCTTCTCCTTTTTTTGTCTATTTGATTTTCAAACCGTTTTCAGCCAAAAAAACAAAAAAATTCTTTTGCTTGGACAGGTGTTTTGTAGATATTTTCAAAATGTTTTCCCAAAAAGTGTTTTAGACTCAAAAGTGAAAAGATAAAATCAGAACGGAGAAATTTTGGTTTTCAACAAAACGGATGTTAGTTTAGCATAAAAAAAAAAAAACAAAATGGATGTTGACTAACTTAAGTCTTGTTTTCAACATTAATTAATTTTATTTTTTGGTTAAACAAAAATACCAATTGTTTTAATCCAATTTGATCTAATTGAAAACCGGATTGATTTTTCAGTTTAATCCATATTCCAAATTAATTGCCGTTCTAACATCGATTTGGTTTGGGACCTTTGGGTTTGAATCCAATTTATATTAAATTGTTATCATTTTGTGTTAAAAACAATTTTTTTTTGGTTTAAAAAATACCGATTGGTTTTAATCCAATTTTAGTTTAATTTAATGGAAAGCCGGTTTGATTTTTCAATCAAAATCCAACCGTCTAACATCGATTTGGTTTATCCTCAAAACGGTGGTTCGATTCTTCACCATCCTGTTTTTTTTTTTTTTTTTTTTCTATTTTAGGTTCTCGGTTCTTTGTTAACCAGATCAAACCGGATATTAGAACAACGAACTTCAACAGATCGCACCAGAAGCAACCACCGTCGCCGCTTCGTCTCCTCCTCATCTCGTCAGAATCATTAGTGCCCTGACTAGGCCTGGGCATTCGGGTACCCGTACCCGGTCGGTTCTTTTTTTTCGGGTATCGGGTCTATTCGGGTAGGGGGTCGAGACCCATTCGGGTATTCTAAAAATTCGGTTCGGGTTCGGTTCGGGTATTTTAATAAAAAAGCAAAATACCCGAAAATACCCGAAATATTTTTGGGTTCGGGTCGGTTAGGGATTTTTACTCGTATATACCCAAATCTAACCGAAATACCCGATTTCTCAAAAATACATTGGTTACTCTTTACTTAGGTTCTCGGTCATTAGTTACTTTTTAACTACATCATTAGTTACTTTTTAACCAAATATATCCAAATGTATCCGAATTACTCAAAAATATCTAGTATATTCGGATTTATGATTGTAATTTTAGGTATTTCGGATATTATAAGTATAAATATAACTAATATTTTTAGGTGTATATTTGTACCCACGGGTATTGGATTCGGTTAGGGTTTTTTCGGGTAGGAGGTGTAGGACCCATTCGGGTATTTTTAAAAATCGGTTCGGGTTCGGTTCGGATATTTTTTCGGGTTTTTCGGTTCGGGTATTCGGTTCGGGTTTTTTTCGGGTAGGAGGTCTACGACCCATTCGGGTATTTTTAAAAATCGGTTCGGGTTCGGATATTTTTTCGGGTTTTTCGGTTCGGGTATTCGGTTCGGGTTTTTTTCGGGTAGGAGGTCTACGACCCATTCGGGTATTTTTAAAAATCGGTTCGGGTTCGGATATTTTTTCGGGTTTTTCGGTTCGGGTATTCGGTTCCGGGTATTTTGCCCAGGCCTACAAGCTAACTTACTTCTCGGATTGAGAAGATTATGGCATTGATTGGTAACCACTTTACAAAGCGGTACAAAGCGTTACAAAGTATACAGTTTTGACAGTTACCAATCACAAAAGCGTTACCAAAAGCGTTACTAAAAGTTTTACTCTCAGCTTTTTTTGTACAGCTCTTTCGTACAGCTTTGCACTATTCCGGAAAAGCTAATAGCTCCAGCTAACAGCTAACAGCTTTTGGTTACCAATCGGACCCTATATACCTAAGTCAAAACTTTCCGGTTCTTAGATTCTCAAAAAAGGTATATTCAAAAAGTTGTTTAATTATTTTGGCACAATAATAGGCATCCCAAATGTCACGATAAATCTAATATTAAATAAGATATAGATTAACTGGCTACATCAAACCAAATTATAAAATTTATCTAGTGTTGCACAAGAGATTTGCCTAGATTTTCTATAGTTTAACTTGTGTCTCTCAACAACACCGGGGGCTTCTCTCTCTTCTCTCTTTCATATCCTTTAGAGAGAGATAGCAATTCCTTATGTCTCGCCGGATTGTTCAGTGAATATACATCCCAATTTATTTGGGCTTTTGTCCAGCATCTCCTGTTGGAGATGGTTGGCTTTTCATCCAGCAATTCCGACTTACATCAGCGGCTTTGGCTGGCTTTTAGTCCGGTAATTCCGACTTATACCAGCGGCGTTGGCCGGCGTTTGGGTTTTCTTTGCTGAAAGTCAGATTCTATATCCGAAGTTTTATGTTTTTCTTTCAATAATATCACTGGATCTGGGTTGGTGATGATGATTTTAGGTATTCGGTTGCTTAAAGTTCATTTTCTCCTACTCGTTTCTTTGACACGTGCGGGATGAGCAATCAAAAGGTTTCCGACATCATCCTCCGCCGTTGAGCGCCGATTCCGGTGAGAAAATCATCGTTGAAACTCAATCAAACGTTGATTCCTTTGTTTACTACCGAAGCTAACCAATCGAAGCTCCAATAAGACTAACAGCTTAAGGCAATCATAATATGCATCTATAGTTTCTTCTTTTCTTCAAACCAAAGACGTAATCTCTGAATTAAATTCTGCAA